ATTATTTTGAACATGTTCAAAGTTTGGCCACGCTCTCCACGCTCATGCTGACTGCACCGCGCTCGATCACGATCGCAGTACGTCCATATACGTCCATACTGCGTTCTACGCTTTTCCACCACGCTCTTAGAGCGTAGTACGAGCGTAGTGAGATCGGGGCCCTGGTGTGACTGGGGTATTATATATGGTTGGTATATAAGATAAACCTGGTTGGATTATAGTTAGAGTTAGGGTTAGGGTTCGGGTTAGGGATAGGTGGTACTCATTTTTCATTGTTGCTTCGAGGAGGGCGAGTGAATGGAGTGCGCTGATTGGCTGTATTCCGGAACACAAGTGGGGAAAAAAATATGCGGCGCGGACACCTACTGATGCTGAGAGGGTCTATGTCACCCAGGGTACTGCCGGAACGTACCCTGGGTACGGTCCGGTATACCGGAACGTACCCTGGTATTATCTAATATGCCGGACCGTACCTGGCCTACTCCACTAACGAGTCTAGGGAGTCGCCTATGCCTACTCCCTAACCCTAACCCTAACCCTAACCCTAACCCTAACCTTATCAGATAGTTACCAGGGTACGTTCCGGTATACCGGACCGTACCCAGGGTACGTTCCGGCAGTACCCTGGGGGACATAATCCCTATGAACCCTACTGATGGTATTCTTTGCCGCTTAATCAATGTCATGCGCAGATTAATCGGCATAGGGATATGAGAAAGAGGTTATAATACTAGGTATTATAAGCTCTTGATATGAACTAACAAGTAAAGGCGCATTCTCGTATAGTATAGTGGTAAGCAGAATGTATGTCGTTGACCTGTAAAACACCGACGGAGTTTAATACCCGGCGTGTGTTTATGGCCGATGAAAAGTTGCAGGTATCAGCTTGCTTAATATGTTTTAATTGTTGCTGACGGTTAATTACGTTCCAATTTAATTAGAGCTGATAACCCACATGTCTGGCGTCACAATCCGCAGTATGCGTTCTTTTCGGCATCGATAGCATCATGGATGAATAAAGACAGATTTGTCGTAATTCACCCCTGATAGCATATAACCGCGTTAAAACGTCGTTAGAACAATAATGATAAGTACATTATAAACAAAGGGATTTGTGTAGCTTTTGTGTATGCGGTGAATTACTTTCTACAAAAAAAGGAATAGGCTCTGGTAGAAGTGATGGCGTTACACAGAAGGGATAACAATAAAGCTGCTATATAAATTAATATTAGGGTGAGGTGTCACAGGTGTTACACAGGTGAGTCATCACAGGTGTTACACGGGTGAGTCATCACAGGTGTTACACGGGTGAGGTGTCACAGGTGTTACACGGGTGAGGTGTCACAGGTGTTACACGGGTGAGTCATCACAGGTGTTACACGGGTGAGGTGTCACAGGTGTTACACGGGTGAGGTGTCACAGGTTTTATAATTATAAACTGCTATATAAATTAATAAATTAAATAAGTAAGAAAGTAAGTAAGTAAGTAACTTAATTAATTAATGATTAATAGATAAATAGAAAACGGGGTAGCTGTAACAGGCAGGCTAGTGCTGATCGCAGTAAGCTGCAACCTGTCGGTGAACAGTGTGTCACATAAAAATAACTCGAACGGCTTTCATTATATTTCGACTTGTTAGAGCTAGGGTGTGTGTATGCGGCGGGTATGCGTGTGTGCGTACGATACACATACGTATATGCTCGGTTACGTATATTTGTGAATAACGACTAGCCCGGTTTTTACGCTTTTACGTTCAATAACACTGCATGGAGTGCAAACAACTTCAGGAAAAAACGACAATATTTTGCGTGCGTAAAGAGCAGTCTAGTAGATAAACAGCGGTTTATGGCACCCTACGGGTGTCTGGTAAGCCATGCTAGATTTTATAGAAAATTCTCAACAAATTGTCGCTAATTGCTATGATACCTGGTAAAGTAACTGGTAAACTGAAAAGGTCTCAGCTCAAAAATGAATGCACAAGAGGACATTTCAGTAAAAGCGAAAGCAGACAGGATCCCACGGTGTTCGCTCTTGATTTATTGCCATTTTATATTTGAAATATAATGATGGTAAAATTGCGTAGCCGTGGGAAATAATACATCGAGCTAGTTAGGCCAGGTTTAGTGTTTTTAAGGCACCAGGTCCTCCTTAGTTTCCTTGTACTTTAGCGTAGGTTTACACCAGTGGTTTCGCATATCCACTATATCGCAAACAATTTTATTCCGTTAAAATTATAGATTTAAAGTGGATAACACATATTCATCAGCAGTTTAAGATGAACAGTACACATAATATAATATAATATAATCTCAGTCTCTCTCTTAAATGATTACAAGACGCCAAGCTTTCCGTAATTTTGCTCTACTATAACAGAGGGTTAAATCCGTGTTTTCGCGTTACCAGTACAGCGTAAATAATATTATTTTGTTAAAATTATTGATATAAACTAGAGATCACGTATAAAACACGAGCATTTTGATATCTCTATTACTATATACCTATCTCTTACTTTAATAGTTATATGGCGTCACGTCTCCTCTCATTTCCCAGTACTGCAGCAAAGGGTTAGATCTGTGCACGCATACGTGCACGCACACACACGCACGCGTACACGCACACGCACGCAAATTCGCACGCAAGCACGTATGCGGGATTTTTTAGCTTCGAATCAGGACAAATGCACTGTTCAAACAAATGCACTATTCAACGAGAGCAGAGCAGTACCACTATTGCCCCCCCCCCCATAAAACAGCCATGTCAGCGCGGTTCACATTGGACATAGTTTGAATGTTGTCGGATTAAGGCCTAATGAGTGCCTCGGGTCACAATTACAAGTGCAAACAACTTTTTACGACTGTAGACATAGTAGTGTCAGGTGTTTCTACTCGCAAATACTTAACAAAACTAGCTCACGTCTACCTTCTGGTTTGCATGAGATGCATGTAACATGCACCAGATAGATACAGTAACCGGTCGTTGGGCAATGATTTTCCTATCATTCCCGTATAACGAGTTAAGGCAAAAGCCCGGAAGCGAGAGAGCGCTGTTATATATCCATTATAGCTATATATCCATATATATATATATATCCATATATATCCATATATCTATATATCCATATATCCATTATCTATTATTAGCGACCTCTGGTCATTGCTACACTATAGGTCCTCGCGAACCCCGAGTTTCTCTCGGAGGGGACGGCCGTGCAAGACCTGAAGTCACCAGACCGTGTGCTAGTCGGCGGAAGTCAGACGGCAGACGGACAGAGAGCCATAGACGCTCTGGTGGCGATCTACGAAAGATGGATCCCAACCGACAAGATTCTGAGGACGAACACGTGGTCGTCAGAGCTGTCGAAACTGGTAAGCAGCAATCGTGGCATGACTGAATACTACTAGGTCGGATACCCGTAACTCCTCACAGGAATGGAATTTTTCAATTCTGCAAACTGTATTGTGTTTCTAGTGACTATGGCTATCCTATAATAAGTATATCCGTATGTTTATATAGCATATATATATATAAGCGTATTATATATAAGCGTATATATATAAGCGTATTATATATAAGCGTATTATATATAAGCGTATATATAAGCGTATTATATATAAACGTATATATAAGCGTCAAACTATAAGGGTTAGTAACTATTGGGGATCGATTTAAAAGAAAATCCTCTACTCTGCCTATTATAACGTAACCAAAACTGGAGTTAACTAGCTATACTATATTATACATGAATACCTCACTGACGAGCGAATGTAAAGGCGAAAACAACGAGAAGTGTGATACCTTACGAATCTTTTGACTCATAAAGTGTACCTCGCTTGATGTTCACCATCCACCAGACTGCCTTTCTAGTACAACGCCTACCTATGTCCACCAGGCGGCCAACGCCTTCCTGGCTCAGCGCATCGTCAGCATCAACGCGATGTCGGTCGTCTGCGAGGCGACTGGTGCCGACATTCACGAGGTGATCCACGCCGTCGGCAGCGACTCGAGGATCGGCGAGAAGTTCCTGCACGCGGGACCGGGCTTCGGCGGCAGCTTCTTCCACCGGGACCTCCTGTCACTCGTCTACCTGTGCGAGTCGCTGGGAGAGAGCGAAGTCGCAAAATACTGGCAAATAGTGCGTGTTCGTGGCTATATGTATAGTATGTGTGTGTGTGTGTGTGTGTGTGTGTGTGTGTGTGTGTGTGTGTGTGTGTGTGTG